TTTCACTGGTCTTTCTTGGCTTTTTGACACTAATTCTAAGGCCAGGGCACATTTCTTTCACTGACTCTGATTCAGGGACCAAGAGTGTTTCTTTGGTACTAGTTTCAAAATCAGGGCATGTTTCCTTGGTTCTGAATTTGGGGAGAAAGTGTTCATTTTTCTGGCTCAGGTCCCAGACCCAGACTGTATTTCTTTCCCTGGTTCTGGGCTCCAGGGCCAGGGTGCTGTTTTCCTGCTCTCTAATTGGTTGATTTCACAGGTCAGTTGGCCAGGGGCAGAGAGGACTCTGATCTGAGCCAAATTGTGTTTCTTTCTGCCCTGATCTGAGCCACGTTTCCCTAGTTCTGGGCAACAGGGTCAGGGTGGGTTTCTTTAGCCAGCCCTTTTCCCCTACAATCTTGATGCCTCTTGCTCACAGAATCCCTCTTCCCTCTCTTCAACTGGACTCCTGGAGCTTGGCCTGATGCCTGGCTATGGATCTCTGCATCTGCTTCTATCAGTTACTGGAAGAAGGCTCAATGACTACAGTTAGGGTATTCACCGATCTGATTACTGGGGCAGGCTAGTTCAGGCACCCTCTCCACTATTGTTAGTAGTCTAAAGTAGTCATCCTTGTGGATTCCTGGGAACTTCTCTAGCACCAGGTTTTTAGCCATACCCATGATGTCTCCCTCTATCATGGTATCTCTTTCATTGCTCTCCCACTCTATGCCTGTTCCAGCTTGACTGTCCCATTCCCTTATGTTCTTATCCCCCACCCCCTACCTTCCATTGCCCCCCCATACCCAGTTTACTCATGGAGATATAATTTATTTCCCCTTCCCAGGGTGATCCATGCGTCCTTCTTTGGGTCCTCCTTGTCAGCTAGCTTCTCTGGAGCTGTGGGTTGTAGTCTAGTTATCCTTTGCTTTACATCTAGTATCCACTTATGAGTGAGTACATACCATGTTTGTCCTTCTGCATCTGGGTTACTTCACTCAGTGTGATATTTTCTAGTTCTATCCATTTGCCTGCAAATTTCATGATGTCATTGCTTTTAACTGCTGAGTAGTACTCCATTGTACATATGTATCACATTTTCTTTATTCATTCTTTGGTTGAGGGGCATCTACATTATTTCTAGGTTCTGGCTATCATGAATAATGCTGCAATGAACAGAGTTGAGCAAGTGTCCTTGTGGTATGATTGAGCATTCCTTGGGTATATGCCCAAGAGTGGTATAGCTAGGTCTTGAAGTAGACTGATTTACAATTTTCTTAGAAACCACCATACTGATTTCCAAAGTGGCTATAAAAGTTTGCATTTCCATCAACAGTGGAGGAGTATTCCCCTTGTTCCACATCCTCTCCAACATAAGCTGTCATCAGCGTTTTTGATCTTAGCCATTCTGACAGGTATAAGATGGTATCTCAGATTTGTTTTGATTTGCATTTCCCTGATGGCTAAGGATGCTGAGCAATTCCTTAAATGTCTTTTGGCCATTTGAGATTCTTCTGTTGAGAATTCTCCGTTTAGCACTGTACCCCATTTTTTAAATGGATTGTTTGTTATTTTGATGTTTGATACAGCTAACTTTCTCAGGACTTGACAATTAACTCAAAAATTTTCTTTCAGAATCCCTTAAAGATGATGTCACCTCAGAAAACAGGAAGTAATTTTAAGAATAGGATGCCCACATTCCCAAGAGGTAGAGTTGGTGGTTTTTGATTATTCAATGGGTTGTGGATAACTGTCATTGTTTAGGATGGTTGGTTACAAGTTTTTAATTGATAGTAGTCAGGAAAAATGCTAAAAGAAGATTAGATTTAGCGTTCTTCTTTGTAAAAAAAAAAAGAGGATATAGATATGATAAGATAAAAGGTAGATTATTGAATCTACTCTAAAAAACAAAGATATAGAAATGATGAATAAAGGGTAGATTATTGAATCTACTCTGAAAAAAAAAAGAAATAGAAATGATGAATAAAGGGTAGAGTATTAAATCAAACCTGAAAAGAAAAAAGAGAGGATATAGATATGTTTTTTAAAACATCTACTTTTAAAAGGCAACTACCAATTTTCAATATTTTACATTGGATTTTTTTACTGTATACAAATTATGTATATTGATACAGATTTGAGATTGATTTTGTTAGAAAATACTGTACATATATTTCTAATTTTGTTCAAGGTATTGTACCTATATAGTTCATTTAGCAGTGTAATGCAATTTTCTAGTCCTTGAAAGTTATTACCAACTACTTAGATAATAAAGAAATGCAGGTTAGTAGTTAGTCATTACAATCTAATTTGTAGTCTTATTAGGTATATTTTCAAGGTCAAGCAGAAATATATTTTAGATAGACATGTCATCTTCAAACACTTCAGAGATCTACAGAATATGGCATTTAAGATGTTTTAATAACAGAATTTTTCATATTTTTATGACTATGAGACATGTCTGCTCCTGTCAGCACCAATATACTTCAGAGAAGATGATGGGCATTGGAGAAACTCCATATGGAATTTACTTTCTTGGTGGCAAAAGTTAGCCACTGGGCAAGAAAGTCCCCTTGCTTCAACTGCTGACAGTATGCTGTCCAAAATGGACAAGCAGGACACAAAAGAAAGAACTGCCAATCCTTGCCAAGACAAGGTAGGAAGGTTTTTTAGAAAACCTTGCTTCACAGAAGAGTTTTTCAGATATGCTAGGACTGTAGGCTGAAGATGGATGCCCCAACATTGTAGAGAAACCTCGGGTGACTGTCCAGGCAGTCAGCTGTTTCTGTCATTCCTTACATTTTTTGGAAGTTGCTTGTTTGCACTTCCTATTTAACTAGGTAATATTATTTCCTTCTTGAGTCTCTGAGTGAGTTGAAGATTAGATAGTTATAGTTTTCCTTGTTAACAAATTCAGAAAAGAAACTTATGAAAGAGGTGTAAAGGGTATAAGTTTGAAAGACGTCAAAACATAGTTTTTGTTTGGTTGGTAACACAAGTTAGGACAGAAAGTGTATCAGGTGCATTTTGCACTCACCAAAATAGGATAGATAATGGAATTTGCTGAATTTGTCAAATCCAAATGGACTAGACAATGTTGATGTAATTATTGCCTGTACATAGTGTATATAGTTATTATACTTATTGTATATAGTTTTTCTTGTATTAGTTATAATTTTTTTTAATTTTAGATAAAAAAGGGGAAATGTGGATATATTTTATTTGTGCTCTAACAAATAAAGCTTGCCTGGGGATCGGAGGAAAAAGCCAGCCACTATATTAAACATAGAGGTCAGGCAGTGGTAGCACACACCTTTAATCCTAGCATTTGGGAGGCAGAGATTCATCTGGATCTCTGTGAGTTCAAGGCCACACTGGGAACAGAGCCAGGAGTGGTGGCACATTCCTTTAATCCCAGCACTGGTTAACCATAGAGGTCTGGAGGTCTGCACAGACAGACAGGAAGTGATAGAGCTGGGCGGAAATAGGAAGTGATATAGCTGGGTAGAGAAAGGAAGTAAGATGGAAGAGCACAGAAAGGTATATAAGATGTGGGTATACAGGAAGTAGCTCTTTCTTGGGCTGAGGATTTCCTAGTGGTAAGAACTTGTGGCTGGCTTGTTTTATCCTTCTGATCTTTCAGCTTTCATCCCAATATCTGGCTCCAGGTTTTTATGAATAAGACCTTTTAAGATTTGTGTTACAGATTCCTAGTTGCTTGAATTCTTTATATATTCTAGAGATCAGCCTTCTGTCAGATGTTGGTTTGGTGAAGATCTTTCCCCATTCTGTAAGCTGCCATTTTGTCTTATTTACCATGTCCTTTGTCTTACAAAAGCTTCTCAGTTTCAGGAGGTCCCATTTATTAATTGTTGCTCTCAGTGTCTGTGCTACTGGTATTATATTTAGGAAGTAGTCTCCTGTGCCAATGTGTTCAAGGCTACTTCCTACTTTCTCTTCTATCAGGTTCAGTGTAACTGGATTTATGTTGAGGTCTTTGATCCACTTGGACCTGAGTTTTGTGCTTGGTGATAGATATGGATCTATTTGCAATCTTATACACGTTGACATCCAGTTATGCCAGCAAAATTTGTTGAAGATGCTTTCTTTTTTCCATTGTGCAGCAGACCCTCCTTTCTTACACAGCCTTAGTAGTATCTCTAGACTTCACTTTTGACATTTAACTTAGAACAAAAGGGCTTTTTGCATACCAAGTACATCAAGCTGTGACACAGCTCCCTAGATACCCCCGCCCTGCCAGAAAATGGCACAGGCGAGTTATACTGAGACAGTTAAAGCCCTAAAGACATATAGGCACTTTTACTTTACTCATAATTTATATTAACATTGTAGACTCCTAACATTTTTTCCTAGCCACTCCTAAGATTATAGTTTGGGAACATAAATATCCTTTTCAATATCTCTCAACCAATTTCAGGCCTTTGTTGACCCCACCTTCTTTTATCACCCCTTTGTATTGTAATATGACTGCTATTTGGATGCATCCATTCACCTCTTCCTTTGACCCCTGGAAGCTGGACTTGGGATGGAAAGAGACTTACTGCTTGTGTTTATATACCAGTGCTCCTGGAGCATAGGTGACAAAGAACAAATCAATGGACTAAAGAGCTTTGTGTACGTAGATTCATTTGAGTATCCCTCAGATTAATTCCTACTGCTGGTAGCATCTCTTCTAGAACCCTGGGAAAAGGTTATTTAGGGGCTGGACCCCAATATCTTTTGATACACTATGAACACAGCAGTAGCCAGAATTCCATAATCTAGTGGGTTACATGTTACATTCATTTTAAAGATTTTTTTTGGAAAGCTTAGCAATGAAATTTTAAAGCAACCCAGTAACATGCAAAGCATCATAATAAAGAATGTATATCTTGTTTTAGGAGCAGAGAGCAAATACTGCTCTTCACTTGAGCAGGCATACTGATACTTCAAATTATCTTTATTCATTCTTCTCTGCAGATTCTTAAAACTGACCAATCACAGAGCCCCAGACTACAAACCTTGTGGCTTTGGACTTGCAGCTGAGTGTTTTGCTGGTGTCCTCCCATTTATTCCCTGAGCCTCTGTGGTTGTGTTGCTTGTCGTACGAGGTGGACTGACCTTTGGACAGGTATTGATGCCTAGAGTTTAAAGGGAAAGAAAAGGTAAATACAGAGACACAGCACAACTTTTGTTTAGTAAGTTAATGTTCTTCTGACCACCTAAAAACATTGTTGCAAGACCCTAGAAACACTTGTCACATATGTCCTGTCCTTGACAGCTTTTCCTGGGGAAGACCTCATTCTGTGTGCTTCAGAAAGCCTCATATTCACATAGAAGCAAGACTTCTATATAAAGAACTCTCTCTGTCTGCAGAAAGGACAGAATGTAGCTGCTATGTGATATTCTAGTGTCCAGTCAGTGACCAATTTACTCAAAAGAACCATAGGAAAATATAACTGTGAGAGTGACATGGAGACTACAGAGAATGTCTTGGAGCGAAATGAACCAATGTGCTCCTTTTCTCCAATGCATTAGTTTCCACACAACATCCACAACATCTGCTAGGAGTAGTGCATGCTTGCAGCAATGCTGAGGTTACACGTATACTGTCACATGTATTTTAGACCCAAAACCCTGAGATGCAACATGAAATGCAGAAAGGGAGAAACATGGTCCTCTATTCAGCTTTTGATACAAGTTATATGCTGAATTTCAGACTTTTAGAAAGTCATATGCCAATATTTTCTCTTTATAAATAGAGTCAATTGGGGGCATGTGACATGGCAATATTAACACTAAAAGAAACTCCAAATGGGAGAAAATAAAATTTCTATCAGAAATTCATTATAGCTGGAACAAAACATGGATATTTAAGGAGCCATTGTTATGAAAGGAAGTTTCATTTTTGCATGATCCAAATATCTAAAGTGAAAACTATTCAAGGTCTTTAAAAACCTTAAAATGATTCAGAAGAAATTTAAATCTGAAAAGTCCAACGAACAGCCACTGAGTCCTCAGATTCCCACTCAACACAAGAGATGAAACAATATATATTAAACCATGACTCCTTTGTTTTCTGTGCTCCCTTTGAAATTTAGTCATTAAGCAGATTTTAGAAAACAAGAAGTTTCAAGTATAATCTGAGAAGTTATTAGACAGCCCATGGATAAAACAGAAATTAACGTGACTTTCCACAGACACCTTTAGGTGTAACTCTGATATGGATTGAGCATTATTTAGCAAAACAAGTATTATTGAAAATTTTGATAGAATGCTATTAAAATCCCTATTTGTTTGTTTGTTTTGAGACAGCATATCATTATGTAATCCTGGCTGGCCTGCTTTCTATTTTGACAAGGCCAGTCTTAAACTCAGAGACACCCCCTACACACACTTCTGTTTCCTAAATGCTGGAATTGCATGTGAGCCACCACCATGCTCAGCTAAAAGTTCAAATCATTAGATGGATAAGCATTTACATATTTTTAGAAAAACCAAGGAGGCAGCAAAGTCTGTACTTCAAATACATAGCAAGCCAAGCTTTAAGGGGATTTGGGTATTTAAGACAATAGAACTGTGGAACAGTCTAAAGATGTCTATTTTGGTCTCAGTTAAGGATAGCTTGGGGGCAGAATCAGTGAAAAAACACAGCTCAATGTAAAACAGAGGGAGACACTTTAACATAGGCTTAAACTTCAACTCTGGTGCAGGAAGACTGAAGCTTTAGCCTTGAATTATAAAAGCTAAAAGTGGGCTGTGATGGCTAATCTCAGTTGTCAAATTCATTATATCTAGAATCAACTAAAACCTAAGCAGCTTGCAGGCATGTGTGAGATTTTAACTGGATCCTTTGAGGTGGGAAGATGTACCCTAAACCTGGGCCACACCTCTGGCGGCAGCCCACATGAAGGACAGGGATGAAGGAAGCTTTTGCTTTTGCCTGCTTGCCCTCACTCTTACCGGCAAGTTCATCCAGCCGACTGCTGGGACATTCCTTCGCTGGTATTAGAACTTCTTTCTTCAGAATTCTAACACTGACTAAAGTCTCATCAGCTGAGGCATCCAGCATCAAGGACTGAACAACTACGAGATTTTTAGCCTTTCTGTCAGCCATTGTTGGACTAAGTGGACTGACTACACTATAAGCAACTTTAATAAATCTCTTCCCTTCTCCTCTTTCTCTTTTTCTTTCTCTCTCTCCCTCCCTCCCTCCCTCCCTCCCTCCCTCCCTCCCTCTCTCTCTCTCCCTCTGACACTCACACTTTCATTTTATCAGTTGGAAAAACAAAAACAGAAGTCTTTAACAGACCACTACAGTCACATAATTAAAAAGAAACAATTTGCGTATTTAGCAACAAGCTGTATCTTACAAAATTAGGTGCATATTTTTAGATAATAAGCTTATCCAGTATGACAGGTTTCACAAATGCTCTATTTCTACAGACTACCTATTATGGATGCACCCAAAATTTTATAATAAGAGGTCAATTTTCTTATCAATTCATTGTTACAGATCAGCCATGGCTAGAAACTTCATCCGACTAGTGTTCCCAACCTTCAGCCACAATCGCAAAACACGGATGCAAAGAGAAAGGGACAGAGAACACTGTTTTTAAAGTTATTTAAAACAAAAGTAGTAACAAAGCACACTAGCGATGAATCCTCCCCAGTTGCACAGCAGAGAGGCTCCTCTGGAGGTAGGCTAGCCTGGCACAGGCTTCCTGAGCAGCCACATATCCACATATACCATGGTGAAGAAAGCTTGCAGAACTTGCAACATTTCATGAGTTACTTTGTTTTGATTCTTGGAGAGTAACAATAAAATGAAGCCTTTCTTTTTTGTGACTGCCTCAGCCTTTTCACATTGGGAGATAGTTTTTATTTGTGCGCTTAGGAGATAACAGGTAACAAAAACTCAATGGTCCTCATATCCAGAAATATTCCACATTAACTACAGGTATCTTATATTCCAACATGACCTATAATAAAGAACTGGCTCTGACAGACACAGCAGCGGCCTGTGAAGTAGCATAGGGGTGCATCTCACTTAAACACTCTGTCACTCTGAGGACCAGTATTTAGCCTTAGTAATAGTCTGGGTTGTTTGGGAGTTCCTTGGGGGCCACTTTGGCCAACAACTAGAAGTATCTCATTCCTGGAACTGGAAACTTTATTTGGTGACGAGTGCAATTCAGTTGGAGTCCGTCTCTCCATTATTTGGGGATTGCATTTAGGTTACCTTTGTATATCTATATATTTTAGGAAGCTACAGCTGTATTAGGTTTGCATAGGACCCCACAAATGGCCTTTAGTCTTAGCTGTCCTTTGACCCTGTCTTCCCTTATCCTCAATATTGGATTCTTTGTTTCCATTTCCACCCACCTCACTCCTTCCCCCATCCACCCATAACTATCTATTCTATTTCCCACACCTAGAGAGATTCAATACATACCCAATAGCCATTACTCTATACCTAACCTCTGTGGTGATATGGATTATAGACTGCTTATTAACTAACTGTTAACAGCTAACATCCATATATATATGAATACATACCATATTTCTTTTTTGGGGGTCTGGGTTATCTCACTTAGGATGAATTTTTTTTCTAGATCCATTCATTAAACTGAAAATTTCATGACTTCATTTTTTTAAACAGCTGAAAACATTACATTGTGTAAATGTACCTCATTTTATTTATCCATTTATCCACTGATGGAAATCTAAACTGTTACCAATTTCTGATAATTATAACTAGAGTAGAAATTAACATGGTTGAGTAAGTGTCTCTATATTAGGATGCAGAGTACTATGGGTATCTGCCCAAAAGTGGTACAGCTGGATCTTGCAGTAGATCTATTCCCAGCTTCCTGAGGAACTGCTACACAGATTTCCATATGGCTATACAAGTCTACACTCCCACCAGCAATGGATGAGTGTTCCCCTAACCCCACATCCTCGCCAACACGGACTGTCACTTTTTTTTTATTGACCTTGGCCATTCTTACTGTTGTAGGATAAAATCCCAAAGTAATTTTGATTTGTATTTTCCTGATGACAGAAGATGTTGAACAGTTCTTTAAGTGTTTCTCGGCCAGTTGTGTTTCACCTTCTGAGAACCCTCTATTTAGTCCTGCAACCCATTTTTAACTGGACTTTTCTTGATGTCTAGTTTTTTTTTTTTAATTTTTATGTGGCTGAGATAATAGCTCTCTATTGGATGTGTAATTGACAAAAGTCTCTTCCGATTCTGTAAGGCTGCTGCTTTGTCCAAATGATGGTGTCCTTTGCCACACAGAAGCTTTTCAGCTTCATGAGGTCCCATTTATTGATTGTTGATCTTAGTGCCTATGCTAATGGTGTCCTGTTCAGAAAGTCTTTTCCTATGCCAATGAGTTCATGACTATTCTACACGTTCTCTTCTACCAGATTCAGTGTATGTGGCCTTATGTTGATGTCTTTGATCCATTGGAGTTGAGTTTTGTGTAGGGTGGTAAAGTGTGGACTTATTTGCATTCTTCCACATGCAGCCATCCAGTTTGACCAGCACCATATGCTGAAGATGCTGTCCTTATCCCAGTGTGTATTTCTGGCTTATCAAAAATCAGGTGTGCACAAATGTGTGGATTTATGTCTGAGTCTCCAATTTGATTCTACTGATCAATGTGTCTGTTTTTATGCCAGTACAAATGCTGTTTTTATACTTATAGCTCTGTAGTTCAAGTTGAGATGATACTTCCAGCAGTTCTTTTATTATTTAGGATTGTATTTGCTATCCTGGGATTTTTGTGCTTCCATATGAAACTGAAATTGCCCTTTCAAAATCTGTGAAGAATTGTTTTGGAATTTTTATGGGAATTGCATTGAATCTGTAGATTGTTTTTGGTAAGCATCTTTCTATACTAATCCTACCCAACCATGAGCATGAGAGATCTTTCCATCTTCTGGTATATTTTTATATTTCTTTCCTCAATGCCTTAAAGTTTTTATTATACAAGTTTTTCACTTGCTTACATAGAGTTACCCCAAGATATATTATTTGAGAGTATTATAAAATATATTGTTTTCCCAAATTCTTTTTCCATCTGTTTGTCATTTGCATATAAGAAGGCTATTTTTGTGTGGTAATTCTGTGTCC